TGATGGGTTAAGCCCAAATAGTCCAATTTATGTATTAAAGTCCAACCCCGGTTGAGGAGCCCAACCTCATTGTGAACCCACCAAGTCCAAGACAGTCCAAGGCCGGTTAGACTTCTTGCTTAGCACGTCACCAAGAGGAGAGCACGGAAAGTTTATCTGCACTGTCAAAGGAAACAGTCCAAATCCACCAAGTCCAAGACAGTCCAAGGCCGGTTAGACTTCTTGCTTAGCACGTCACCAAGAGGAGAGCACGGGAAGCTTATCTGCACCACCGAAGGAAACGGTCCAATCTTTGACCACGTTTCATGAAGAGCTCCCCAACCTCCTCCTTCCGTTGAGGATAAGTCGTGATCTCCACCAAGAATAATCTCTTAGCTGCGATAAAGAAGCCTTGAGGATATGTCATGATCTCCACAAGAATGATCTCTTAGCTACTATAAAATGGCTCTAATCTGAGAGAGGAAGGACACGTCCCACCAGAGACATACAGAGGACGAACCGACTACCGGAGATTACTATTTTTCTTTGATTCTCCATTCTCTCTCTCAAAGCTTGTATCTCCATTCTCTATACCTTTGAATCAATAAAATACCTGGCAACTGAAGCCATTGAAGAGTGGACGTAGGTCGAATTGACCGAACCATTATAAATTGTGTCTTTTTCAATTTTTTTTATTGATTTCATTGCATTTATTATCTACACTTGACGGGTGGTGTGCAAAACCATTTTTGTGCATCATCAGGTGGTATAAGATTTTATATTCATTTCACTCCGATTCAATAGTATATTATACCCGGTTTTAAACTATAATCTCATCTTTCCTTTTGTTTGTTTGTCACAAACATTATCTATGTAATATCTACTTAAAAAAATCAACAATTGTGACTATGACCTGTAAAAAAATAATTGTAACTTTGTAACCTTAAAAAGATAATTGTACATGACGGCAGTTGGATTTTTTTACTCTATTATACCTCCATCTTATTTGTATCGGACATATAATATCATCGGATATGTGGTATTCATTAAGACCATCTATAAGGTATTATGACTACTATTTATAGCGGGTCAGTATTCCGACTCGAAAAATAGTATTGACTATAAAATGCTAAACAAATAAGGTATAAGATGAGTCTCATATACTATTTCTCTAATACCATCTCCTTATACCACTCTAATCCTTGAAACAAGCCTTGATGTGTCATTTGCACCAGTTTGTCACATAGTATTTCCCTAAATAAAAAGGTGGCCTCTTTTAGTCTTTTGCCTCTTTCAGCCGTCAAAGAACACTCCATTCATACACAGAAGTCCTCAAAGGTAGGGTCAATTTGACCCATAAGCAAAGCAAACTTCTAAGCTTTAAATACCGTCGAGCAAAATAAATAAAAATTATGGTGCCATGTATGCATAAGCTTTAATATTGAAAAATAATTTTTTTTTGATGATTATAAGCCAAGTATATATTACACGTGTAAATCTTATTATTTTTAAAAGTAATAACTATGGATAACTCAAATTTATTAGCATTGTTGTGGCACTAAGACATACTTTTTTTCTATGTTCGTCACATTGGTCTCACAATCAAGTTCGCTTTTGTCTTTGCACTCGAGGGTGAAACTCCATCTCCCGCGAGAAAATTTTTGTGTACCTTCTTTATCTTTTGTGGGACTAAAATTGTCTACGTGAGATTATTTCTTAGCTTATTGTGGGTGTATTTGTTTTAGGTATTAAAAAAAATGGACTGAAAAAAATGATATTTGGATTTACCTCATTCCACCTACACATGTTTGGATACACATTTTGAACTCAGTATTATCACCTACATATAGTCCAAGATTCAAATGAATAATGATTTACAACCACATACACCCTTTTGAATAAACTCACCTACTTGATGGGGTTTAAATAATTTGATTGAGGCATGTATGGGTAAAAAATATTTTTACAGTCAAGAATCTCTATAATATAAATATCATTATTTATCTTGAGGGTTTGTTAGTAATTTAATGTTTATATCATCATTCAATATTTTATCTAAATAAAGTATTACATAGCATAAATATGGAACTCACTATTTTTTAATATCTTAACTAAACGTGTGATGAAAAGACATAAATTTTAAATTTATCTTTATTCTCCAACTAGATGGGTATAGAATGGATAGAGTTGTTCAATCCGATACATCCTAATACCTAATTTGAACACACCCACAATGTCTTTGGCACGAGTTCAGAATTTTAATTCTTCCAATTAATTTCTCATTAATGACTCAAGTCCCACAAAGGAGGTCTTTTTTGCATTCCAACTAAACAAAATAAGAAAAATTCAAAATCAATCCAATAAAATAAAAACAATGTTATATAAACTTAAAAAATAGATTTAAAAATTAGACTTGATAATTAGAACTATTAATTTCACTGTGGGTCCTAACATTTATTAGGACCTATTAACTATTCAATGATTGAGATTATCAAATATAATTTTTAAGTTCATATAATATTACTCATAAAATAACGAAGTTTCATAAAATCTTTTTATCCAATTGCGGGAGGTAATTTGCATTTTTACATCTTTCACCGGGCACCTCTATCAGATAGTACCCAAATCGTTCCGTCTTTTTGTACGGTTCAAAATTTAGTCAAAAGAAATTTCAATACCTACCGTCGTTGTTTTGGTAATAATATTGATAAGTGGGGGTAATTCAGAGAATTCTAGTTATATAGTCTATCCATATCACGGACCGGTGTAAGTAACCATGGCAGTTCCCGTAATAACAAGGGACAAAGGAGGGTAGTTTGAAGAAATCCAGTCAATAATATACAAGCGGAAAGAGTCCGTCACCAGAAATAGCTGGCTCACTCGTGCCATTTCTCGGATTCACAGAAGTGGAAATAAATAATCTCTCTCTGTCTCTCTTTCTCTTAGCTGAAGATTTGCTGTCCATAAAGCTCCTTTCATGGCGGAGAAGCGAATATCGATGGCGAGTTGAAGCTGTTCTCTGTCTGTGTTCTGCTGAAGATTGGCTGTCGTAGAGCTCCTTTCATGGCGATTTGAAGCTATGGAATATTTGTTGCCTTGCCTGGATAATTTATTTTGAAGCAGCTGAGCAAGAAACAAATCCAGAGTGGTGAAAGTGCAAGCAGTTTCCTCTTTTTTTTTTTTAACAGAAATCTGGTTCTGTTTGATCCGAGTTGAGATTGTTGAACTTCTTTTTCTTCGATTATGTATAGCTCAGCCTCAGAGGCGGTTCCAAGAGATATGAAGAGCAGTTATTTGTTGTCTTCTACTTTTAATCACTCATTGGGAGAAGGAGAGTTCGTGAAGAATAAAGAGGTGAGGAATTTGGATATTTATCATAATGATCAGCAGCAGCAACAGCAAAGCTCGGGGCTAATGCGGTATCGATCAGCTCCGAGCTCCTTCTTTGCTGCTCTAATGGACAATAGTAGTGGTGGTGATGGCGGCGGCGGCGGCGGTGGTCGTGGTGGTGAGGATTATTTCAACCATCAACTTGAGAGGAGTCCTGAATCTGAATCTGAATCTATGTTCGCAACGCCACCACCGCCGATTCAGGGTAATGGTTCTGGAAATTGGGATTCAAATCTACACTTTTCCTCGTCTATGATGAAGCAGGAAGTTAAGGATTTATCTTGTCCACATCCGAATAATGAATATTCTTCAGCGGTTTCGCAGTTGATTTACGAAACAAGTCCTCCTCCGCCGCCGCCGCCGGTGAACTCTGCCTCTGGTGTTGGATCTTACTCTGTTGTGGCCATGGAAAATCCAACGCAACTGAGGACCAGTAATGCTAACTGCTCCAATCTTATCAGGCAGAGTAGCTCTCCAGCTGAATTTTTCTCTGGTACTATTTTGTTGTTGATTTAACTTGCAATTTACTTAAGATTACTTTCTTTTCAACTTTAATTAAAAAATTATTGGTTGATACTCGAATGGATCTACTTAAGAAGTCAATTATTTGGTAGAAAGTTGATTATTAAGCCAGCTGTACTCAGCCAGAAAGTGGGAGAGATCTCTGCAGCTTGTGTATTGAAAATAGAGTTGACTTTTAGTCTCTGTTGGATCCGATCACAAAAAGGTGAGGGAAAGAAAAGAAAATACCACTAAACAGTGATTTATTGGTTTTTTCCTTTTTTTGGGTCTATATTAAAAAGAAGGATATGACTAACCTTTTTGAATTATTTGCATAAACGTCCGCCCCCAACGTCAATGCCTGCACCACCTTGCTACAGTGTCCTAAGAATCGAAGCTTTAAAGTTACTCATGAAACTTCAGACTCTAGAACTGATTTAATGGAGCTTTTGGAGCTCTCATGTTTTGCATCTATTAAATGTTTCGAGCAATTTTGAATTTTAAATTGATTATATTCTCAGTTCTTCAGTTATTTGTGATTGAGAAAGACTCGCTGAGAATTGCTTAATCAATTTCAGGATTTTCTGTATCTAGAGCTAGTAATGGAACCTATAGAGAAATGAATTCTTCAACTGGCATGTTGAATAATCATTTCAGCTTCCCATCTGGGCCATCTTCTTGCTCAAGGTTCATGCCTCAGATTGCTGAAAATGTGTCTGAACGCATAGGGACAGGTAGTCCTGAAAATGATAACACCACCAATGGATGCTATGTCCCCAGCTTTTCAAATGATTCTTGGAATGATTCGATGTTTACTAGCTTAAAAAGAAACAGGGATGGTGATGTGAAAATGTTTCCTAGCTTGACTGCATTGGAATCTCAGGTAGAATGCCTCGATCACTAGTAGATTTCATGTTTGGCTAATGCTTATTCAGCAGTCACTAATGTTACTTTTTTGTTTAATCAGAATGGAAGCTCTAGAAATTACACTCCTGGTTTAACTCACCATTTGAGCTTGCCAAAAACTTCTGCTGAGATGGCTGCCATTGAAAAGGTTTTGCAGTTCCAACAAGATTCTACACCTTGTAAGATCCGTGCCAAAAGGGGTTTCGCCACTCACCCACGAAGCATTGCAGAAAGGGTAAAGTTTTACCTATTATATCCCATCATCCCAACTGATTTTGTGTCACTCAAATCCAATAACCACTGTTTTTCTTATTACTCGAACATGTATTAAGCACTGGCCTGAACTTCATTTGGGCTCTACAAATTGCAGAATAGAAGAATACGGATCAGTGAAAGAATGAGAAGGCTACAAGAGCTTTTCCCAAACATGGACAAGGTAGTTTTTAGGTTATCGTTGTCACGTGTATTTCCTCTACTTGAAGTTGTTAGAAACTCTAGTTTTTTTTCCATTGGCAGCAAACAAATACAGCAGATATGTTAGATTTGGCAGTTGAGCACATCAAAGACCTTCAGGAACAAGTCCAGGTATACCAAAGAAATCACTTGCATTCGAACTCCCATGAATCTCCTACCAACTTTATCTTCCCTCACCAAAATATCTTAAATTTTTGCGTAGACATTGACAGATACTCGGGCAAAGTGCACATGTTCGAGTGAACAGAAATAAATTTCAAATCCTACGACAACTGGCTTTCTGTGCAGAAAATAATAGGCAGAGAAAGGAAGAATGGGAAAAGAAAGCAACGGTTAGTTTTCTATTTCAATGCACTGGATTACAGAATGTGGGCATTGTGTAGCCACAGTAGTTTTACTCACCGTAAAATCCATATTGGAGAGGTTAATTATCCTATTGATTACTCTTATTTGAACAACAGATGCTCAAATTTTCCTTGTAGATTATGTAATTGACTGTTTATTTGTGCCGTCCAACCAATTATTCCAAATTAACCCCCTATTGGAGAGCCTGGGAGGTCACACTCACAAGGTCAAACCCACCCATGACATTAATCCAAAAATTGTAACCCTTGGGAGTATATCATGACGAGGGTTTAGAAACTTCTGTTGATATAAAGATGATCTTGGTATTGTGGTGATGGATGGCTTCTTTGTTTTGGAAGCTTAGTTTCATCAAAATTTCACCAGTGAAATGAAATAAATTCGATGCTCAATCACAGCTCTCTGAATCCAATTTCATTTTGTTTTCCGTACAGCTGACAGGAAATTTCAACTAGATACTTATTTGATTATGAGTCATGAAAGTTGTTGTAACATGTTTAAGATTCAAGTCTCTTTATATGGTTATTTAAAGACCTTCCTTTTTTGGCATTCTCGGTCTTATATTGGCGGAACCAACACTTCCTCTGCATTTATTTTTTCTATTACAATAGAATTACTTTGGTAGGTTATAGTGGTTGCAAGGATTTGAAAATTCGTTGAATTTTTATTTTTAAACCAAATTGTTGATGTCTTGGTGGTTAGGTGCAGTAGACTATGGGCCTGCCTTGATTTCGATGGGTAGGCCCGGGCCCTGGAAAGGCTTTGTGGGCTGCCCCTCAAAATTCAAAATAATGAAAACATCGAGAAACATACGGTACCCAAAAAAAAATTGGCACCACACTGACCCTCATTTCGGGGTCGCTGGGGCATGAAGCCAGGAAAACAAGAAAAATAAGAAAGTGAGATAGAACTTAAAAAACTTTCAACATGCCTGCCTGGTTGCCCGAGCTTCGCCTACCAAGGCAGATAGGCAGAAGAATTTTGAGATTTCCATAACAAGCACTTTCAATTAATCTCTTAGGACTATCCTTAGTATACTTTTGTTGATGGTTCAAGCTTCAAAGGAAGAAGAATTTATTCAGGTAATGACCAGTAATTTATATATTTGGATGTCAATTGATAATCAATACATAGTCGTAACGTTGTGCTATTTGTGATTTGGTGTTACGAGTCGAGTCAAACAATCAGATTTTTTGCATGTGGAGGTAAAACGGTATATTTCTAATCCTCCCAACCGGACTAAATTTTGACACAACCTGACTTGCATGAATTAGGCCCCTCATAACCTAATGAGGTAGAAAAGCATTGTATAGTTAAAAAGTATTACCAACTAATTTAGTTAATACCTTCCACGTATCTTGAATAGGGGTTCAATTTGGGCTGAATGATTTGACAGATTAATCTAAGCTCAATTTAAGTTATAAAACCTTGACTCGAATTCAATCGAAACTTTTTAATTTGACACTTGTTTAAGATTAATTTTTTGAATTCAAATTACATAATTTATATTGAAATTCAGGTTGAAATTAGACTCAATTTACAATTAATTATTTTTAACAAAAGTCGGGTCCAATTTGCAGGTCGAATTTGAGTTGTAAATTCGTTTCTCGGTCTACACAATTCAAGTTGCAACTAAGTTGAATTTGAGATTAACTTAGGTTGAACTTGAATTTACTAATTTAAATTGGATTTCAAAAAAGTAAAACTTCAGCCCAGGACTGTTTGAATTTAAATCGAATTGGAAACTTTTTATTCAAGCCCAATCCATGAAAAGAAAGCTATCCCCTTCATCTAATGAAGGAGATGGTGGGAATAACTTTATTTCTTGTGAGTCGGACAATATTCTATGGAATTGACTTACGTAAAAGGAGAAATAACAAAAATACTTCAAAGATATGAAACTAAAATGAGAATAAAATTTGGACAAAAGTCTTCTGCAAGACTCATCATTAGAAGCCACAAATGAAAGCAAAAGAAATAAATAGGAATTTTTTGCACCCTCCGTTCCGAAAGATTTCCAAATTCTTATTCTGTACTCTTAAAGATTAAATTTTTTATATTATATCGTTAATATATCAAAAATATTACAATGTGTTATTTCTGTTCACTTTCGTTATTTTTTTGTCAAAAATCAAAGTAAAATTCACCCAAATAAATTAGTATACATTGTGGTATTGTTTTTTTTTGGGTCAGTAGCACTTTTAATCATTAAAATATGTATTTTTTATTAGTTTAGGCTTTAATGTATCAAATTTTGTCAATTTAGTTTTTAAAATATTCAATTCGTTTTATTTTGATCCTCACATAGACGAACCGTTATATTTTTGACAGAATGATTATGTGTTGGACACGTGATACCGTCTAAAAAAATGATATGTAACCACTTCTGTCAAAAAATTTAACAGTCTATTTATGTGGAGACCAAAATGAATTTCAGATATCTCAATTGGTCAAATTCGAAAAAAGTGTCTTGTCTCTTTTCAAATGAATGCTCAAAAGAATCATTTTTATTTTAAGTAATGAATATTATTTAAATTTTGATATGCATTCTACCAAAATATTTAATATTTCGCAAGCATTTATGGGGATTCATCCTCATGTTGTGCTTTCGAAGTCTCTTGAAAACCCTTCATAAATCTGCGAGATCATCCACATAAAACTCTAATGTTTTATGTTATTGATCTCAAAATATTTGCATTACAACTCTTTTTTAGTAACGTAGGTGGCACCAACATTTTTGAAACCGAATGCCATCACTATATAGTAGTACATGTTGTGTTTATCATCGTTTGGATCCTTTTTTCTTTGGTCATACCCAAACAAGTCATCCGTGAATGACATCTTTTTTGTCATATCCGCGAGTATTGTCTACTATGAAGATTAAACTAATAAAAATACTGTTAACCCTCCTTTTTTTTACTTGGGTAGCGCTGTATGCGTAGTTTTTATTGGATGTTTTAGGCCTGTTGGCTAGGTTGAGAGTCCTACGTATGGCCTTCGGCGTGTATCGAGTCTGGTTACTTTTCTATTCCTTGTTCTTTAATCTCAATTTTATTTAGTAAAAAATAAAATAAAAACCTAATTTAATTGTTAAAAATCTAAACTCAAGTACTAAATATTTAAAATTGGACCCAAGTAAAAGCCGCTCGAGTTAAACCCCTAGTTATGGAACCTAAAACATACAACAATACTATTTGGACGCAAATTTGAGATCAAAATTTATAACTTAGATTTTTTTTGTTACAAGATATTCAGATTTGTGTTAACTGTATCTTTTGATGTGTCAGACCCAAATGACCCAATCCATATTAAAAGACCAACTATAATCAAGAGCTTAAATTTATAAAAATTCAGTAGACCCAATGAGACCCAAGCCCGATCAAGCCCATTAGGTAGCTACACTACCAAGGGAGTATTCAAGAGCCTCACTCTAGTAGCCTGAAGAGAATCAACCTTTCTCATCTTTGACCAAGTACTTTGGAGAGCATCATAACTTCCTTGTCAGTTGAGGAGAAGAGAGGAGAGGTCGCCAAGATATTTAATTACTATTAAACGACCTCAATCCGTTATGACCATCATATTAGCTATTTAATTATTACACCAAACCATTATAAATTGTATGTCTCATCAACAATTGGAGGGCACCTCACTCATTTCGAGCATAACTCTCTCCTCCTCTCTAAAAACTTGTAATCTTCTGCTCTGTCATTGTACCGAAGTTAATAAAATTTCGGCGACTCTTGTCATTTCAAGTGGACGTAGATCACCTTGACCGAACCACTATATACTTGATCTTCTCTCTCTTTACTTTAATGTATTTTATATTACTTAATTGACAGGTGGTGTGCAAACTAATTTTGTGCATCATTACTTTTGAATTCAAATACTGGTTATTATAGTACGAACAGGTTTATAACATGTTCTTTGAATAACAAGAATGACTTACGCTTAGGGAATATAAAAAGTGTTGAGTCCGAAGTTTTTAAGTCAATAGAGATTAATCTCAGCCATTGAATCAACCCTGAGGTGTATCCTCTTACCCAACAAATAAAGAGCTTAAAACTTTCTAGTTTTGGCGCATCATTTTGACCGCATAGTTGGTGTCAAACTTTAGACACTGATCTAGGATCTCTGTAAAAGAGGTTAGTGGTTGCCTTTAAAGGTTGTAGATTCAAAACTCGTTGTTCTCCTCTTTATAGTAATGCTTGACCAACAAAGTATTTTAAGAAAATAGTGTCTGTGTAAAATATTATATTCTCTTATGGGTAAAAATCATAATTCACTCCTGAACTTTGTTTTCGGTTTTAATTTGACTCTTGAACTTTAGTCTTTCATTTATTAATTTTATCTTAATTAAATCTTTTTATTAACTTTTATCGTTAGATCAACTAGAAACTAGCTTAATTTGATACATTTCAACGTTGATCTAAAAGTTAAAATGGTCAGAATAATTCAATTGAGATAAAATTGATAATTCAAAGACTAAATTAAGATAATTAAAAATGTATAGACCAAATTAAAATAAAATGCAAAATTCAAGAACTGGCTATAATTTTTATCGCTTATGGGTTAATTTCAATATTGATTAAATAAACATGAGAATCAGCTTAAGTCACAATGACTAGCCGCTGAGCTCGAGAACTAGCCAGCAAAAATCTGGACTGTAATAAGTAAATAAATAAAGATGAGAAAATTTTACTACTCCCTTTTTTTCTTCCATTTTCCCTGCAACCAAACACTAGGGAGCGAAAAGACAATAGTCGGTTGGACGCATTGAAGCCGTTGGTCATTCTTTTTTAACGCGGCTCTCTCTCTCTCTCTCTCTCTCTCTCTCTCTCTCTCCCTCTGCGCACAACAAAGCTATACTTGATACATTATATAGTCGGAGACTCGGTCGCTATTTCAAGTAGCACTTTCTCATCATTTTCCTCCGCTCTCTTTACCCCCAAAACCCTAACCTTCTATCTCGCTATCCACATACGCACACGCATATATTTCAACTATTTGATAATCTATTGATCTTTCATCTGCGTATTTTGAATTGTATTTTCTTCGTTATATTCACCACCCGATCTGTCTTGATCGATCGGGCGTCTGATTTCTTGAATTCAAGTCGCTGATCGGAATGGCGAATTTGTATGGGGGAGATTTGAATCAGAAGATTGACTACATATTCAAGATCGTATTGATCGGAGACTCAGCTGTCGGAAAATCGCAGCTCTTGGCTCGTTTTGCGAGGAACGAGTTCAGTTTGGATTCGAAGGCGACGATTGGGGTTGAGTTTCAGACGAGGACGCTCACGATTGATCACAAAACTATCAAGGCTCAGATTTGGGACACCGCTGGTCAAGAAAGGTCAGCTATGCTTTCTTTTCTTTATCTTCTTTCTTTTTCATTTTTTGTTATATTTTGGGATCAACTGTTCTAAGTATGTCAGATGATGACTGTGAGTGCTCGATTGAAATATGCATTTCGCTGACTGGCCAAATTCCATTTGGTAATATCATTGCGTGCTTACTCAGTTGTATATGTAACGGGTTAGAAATATGGAAATATTCCTTGGTCGTGTGGACTGGCCAAATTCCATTTTGTAATATCATTGCATGCTTACTTAGTTGTATATTTAACGAGTTGGCAACATGTGGGAATATTCCTTGGTCATGTTAAACTGGAACAGGTTTTAGGAATTACAGGTGACTTCATTTCTTTGAAGCATTTTGCCAAACAGTTGTGAGCACATGAACGGAGTGAAAATTGAAAGAAGAAAGTTTGAGTGATGGTCTTCTTGTTGTGCCTGAGATGAGATAGAGGCTGGCATCTGGATTGTATTCATGATTTAGGCGGTAGTGAGTTGGGATGTATAGGTGTTCTTTTATGGTCGAACATTGTTTGATATTTGCAGTTCATTTTTGATGTTGCTGTTTTAGGGTAAGGAGGATGGTGGAGTGAAGAGGTTGGTCCACGGGAGGTTGGTTCACGAGGAGGTGGAAATGCCGTGGCTAAGTTTGGGGACTGGTTATGGTGGAGTTTGAGGAGTTTAACGTGGCATGGAATCATTCAAGAACAAAGGAAGTTAGTATATATATTATCTAACACACTAGCTCAAGAGTCTAGCTATCAAGTGGCCCAATGCTAAGGTGCAGTTCAGATGCAAAACAAGTTTGAATAATTGATCAGCTTCGGTTCATACTATATTAAGATGATCACAAATGAATTGCTTTGTTTAACATCCTTATTTGCTACGAATGTTTGCAGACTTAAACTTAAATTAATTGACCAAAGGAAAGGGAAAATGGAGAAGAAGCAGCAAATTCACGTAGACAGCCCAAGCACTTGATCATTGAACTAAGCAATGGAACCTATACTTAGAAAATATGTTGTTAGTTAAGATTGGCTTGAGCTAAGTCAATAGTTGAAATAGATGTTTTGGATTCTGATGGCAGTGAAGTTCTTTGCACTTCGTGATTGCAGAGATGTCTTGATAATGGAAACTACTGGAGTGTGGAACAATGGAGGGGGAGTGGCTACCAAATATTTTACCAGTTGGATACGACTTGGATATTAATTTTTGTGATCCTTGGCCTGGGGTTATATGACATCATTCCCATAATTTATAAGGAGGAAACATTTGCTATGTTTTGGTCTCCAACAAAGATGGAACAACAATTGGTATTTATGTTAATCAACTTGATGCTGTAGAATTATAATTCTCAAGTGGTTGAAGATGACCTCATTATTAGCCAAGTTTTGTAATGTGTGATTTATATTCCTAAGAGCATCTCCAACCATGACTCAAATTTAAATTAACATCTGAGTAAAAAGTTTGATTTGATATAAAGGACTCCAATGGACAAACTCAAATTTAAAGAAGGAGAGACCCAAATTTAAATGAGGACAAACCCAAATTTAAATGAGGACAAATCCAAATTTAAAAAGGAGTGAAAATGACCATTAAATCTTTAAAAGATGGTAAAATCTCACCATTAAAAATTTGAGTAAATATTTGAGTTTCTCTTGATTTGAGTAAAAAAATGAGTTTCCCTTAATTTGATATAAGTTTGAGTCAAGGATTGGAGCAAGTTTTTTAAATTTTTTTACTCAAATTTAAATTTGAGTAAGGGTTGAAGATGCTCTAAGGTGAGGTGAACAATGTCTTTAGAATGCTACTACTCAAAACTCAATGGAATTTCCTTAAAGACACCAATAAGTCTAGACATGATTTGTGGTCTGTAAAGTTGACTATCAAAATGAAGATGTTCATAAATAGTGTAGCTAAGATTTTGTAAGATGGTACACATGTGCTGTGGAAACAGGTATTGCAGCAAGGAGAGGTAGTAATATAGTTGACATGGCTGTTTGAAGCAAGGATGATGTGCCACCTTCACTTCTTATAGTGGATTAACTTATTAAAGTTACAGAAATCCATAGAGTTTGGTTTCAAAAGGGTGGAATTGTGGTTGTAAGCAGTACAAATGGGAAGGGTTTGAAATTGGCTTAATTTGGGGGATGTTTGACCACAGGAAATTCAGAATTAATGTTACCAGAAGTTTTGGACTTGTAACTGTTTTTTTTTCTATCTTTTATTTTAATTCCAAACTCCAAATTGTAGTGTTGTCTGGTATAATCGAGGCCTAAAATTTAAGTTTATGAAGCATGGTTTGGGAAGGTTTTGGAATACCAAAGAAGGATTTGAATCATTTGATAGCTGTTCAGGATCTCTTACATTGTTGTGAACAGTAACCTGTAAATACTATACTTCTCCTGTGAGTTTCTGGTCCCTGGGATGGAATATCAGAAAGGTAAGAATTGGGATAGTAAATTTTGGGGTTTTTGCGGATGAGAGGAGTTTTTTTTGCACAGAGATGAGAGGATTCGACGAGGTCTAATTGTAGTATAAAGGACAATGCGAAAGAGGACGAATATAAGAGTTTTACTTAAAGTTCTTTAGCTTTAGGCAATGTTGCCTCACACATCAAACAAAACTTCAAGAGCTTCTAACAAAATTCGAAAACATCACTCTTTCATTAAACATCCAGATTAAGTATTGACTACTAAGGCTATCCTAGACCCCTAAAGACTCCTTATAGAACCCATATAACATCTCTTGACCCAACAAGAGACTCAATGACCTATGCAAATTTTTAAATTTCTTAATTACGTTAACTCCTAAAGATATGAAAAGATAAATTGATAATATCCCAGCAACTTATGAAATAACCTAAAACTAACAAACAATTAGAATTTATGTAAAAACAAGACCCTAGTTTGCTTCCTTATTAGGGATGGACTGTGAACAAACCTAGCATTCTTTGTATTATTTATTATTATTTTATTTTCTTGATATACCCCAAAGTGCGGGACATAAGAAATCAAGTCTTGCTTTTAAGTTTTAACAAGGATTAACCATTGACATATTAGTGGGCAGAATCTTGAGAGAAATCAAGGGTGGCCAAAACTTCTTTGTATTATTTACACAAAGTGGATACTTAGAGATACAAATCAGTAATCTCATTGTTGAGTGATCTTATATAGTTTGATTGCAGGGAAAATAACCAATAAGTACTACTCTGCTGGCCAAAGAACCATTAAGTCCTATAAACTTTTAGTAGGACCAATAAGGCCTTCTTATATAAAGATAGTTCCAAACAAGTACACAATCTATTTTTTTTCCCTGTTTTGTTCCTTACAAATAGGAAACCTTTGTGTTTTTAACTGTAAATATAACATGATTTATTAACACATAATTATCAACAACATAATTTATTAGATTAGAAATTACAGTCTTAAATTTTCAGTAAGATTTTTTAATATTTTTAACTACCAATGTATTCACGACAAATTAAATAATTTTAATAGAATGATGTTGGCTCATGAAGGTGTCAGATAGCATAGTTGATTGAATTTCTTGGTGTTGTACCTGTGATAGGATCAATTCTTACCTTAATCTTGACTTAGGCTATCATTGTCCCTAATTACAAAGTGATAATGAAATAAAAGAAATAATGTTGGTCCATCCACATTTACTCCATAGAGTAAAGTAGGTGGTTTGACAACTGCTTTGACTTGTTACACTGTAAAGTTGGTATGAAACAAAAGATTTGATGTGGGTCCATGAGTTTGCAAAAATTGAAGTTGGTAAAGTGAAAGTTGAATAGGGCTATGATTTTGAATTGGATTAGATGGACTCTCTTTTCCTAGAACTTATACTAGGGGTGTTAGAGGGAGAAGGAAGAGTATTGCAGTAATATTTTAAAGATACTTAACAGAGAGAGTAGTATTAGTAGACGAAACAAGAGGAATGTACTGGATCAAGATGAACTAAGGAAAAAAAGAGAGCATATTTTCTACACTTACTAAAGGAAGTACTAGGTTATGACGATTAATTTTATCCTTGCAATAATGCACTTGGCAATAGAAATTAAGGAGGAATTGTTCTTTACTAGTTCATTGCCTTCATATTCTTAAAGAGGAGGAGACTGAGAAGAGTCTTTCCTTAAGCTCTGTTTGGTATGATAGAAAAATTGAAGGATAGAAAGTTGGAGGGATAAATAAAACTTCATGTTTGGTAAGGAAGAATGAAAAAGTGGATGGATTAACTTTTCTTCCGACTTACTAAAATCAATCTCTCAAAAACGGAAGGAAAGTTGATGGAAAGTTAATTATTTATGTTGAGATGTATCTTATTTGTCTATATATTATGTATACATTAATTTTATATAAAAATACAATGATAATATATATATATATATATATATATATATATATATTTAAAAATATTTTTTCCATTTTAACTAGGGGTGAAAATTTTTGATTTAACACGATGACACGACTTGAACTCGACATGAATTTTATGACACGAACTTGATTATAACTCGACATGAACTTGAAAATGATCTGACACGCGAACAAAAAATATAAAAGGCTCATAATTTTATAACTCAACACGAATTTGACACGACACGACTCGATTGTCACCTCTAAATATTAGACAAAAAAAAATTAGTCATTTTTATTTTTCATCCATCCAACCAAACATAAGTGAAGGAAAGTATATCATTCCTATTTTTCATCCTTGAAGGATAGAAAGTGTATCCCTCCTATTTTCCATCCTTCTTACCAAACAGAGCATTAGGGTCGGAGGCTGATATCTTAACTGGACTTGTACCATCTTGGGTGTGTTACCATTTTGTAGCTTATTGTCGGTCCATGAGTTTGCAAAAATTGAAGTTTCTAAAGTGAAAGTTGAATAGGGCTATGATTTTGAATTGGACCAGATGGACCCTTTTTTCCTAGAACTTATACTAGGGGTGTTAGAGGGAGAAGGAAGAGTGTGGCAGCAATATTTTAAAGATACTCAACAGAGAGAGTAGTAGTATTAGTAGACGAAACAAGAGGAATATACTGGATCAAGATGAACTAAGGAGGAAAAGAGAGCATATTTTCTACACTTATTAAAGGAAGTGCTAGGTTATGACGATTAATGTTATCCCTGCAATAATGCACTTGGCAATAGAAATTAAGGAGGAATTGTTCTTTACTGGTTCATTGCCTTAATATTCTTAAAGAGGAGGAGACTGAGAAGAGTCTCTCCTTAGGGTTGGAGCCTGATATGTTAACTGGACTTGTACCATCTTGAAATTAAGGAGGAATTGTTCTTTACTGGTTCATTGCCTTAATATTCTTAAAGAGGAGGAGACTGAGAAGAGTCTTTCCTTAGGGTTGGAGGCTGATCTCTTAACTGGACTCGTACCATCTTGGGTGTGTTACCATTTTGTAGTTTGTACAGTAAGATGGGCTACTGAGCTAATGTTGATGGAACAATGTGTTGCTGATTGAGGTGGCTGGGTTCAAACTCGAGGTAAATAGAATAAGGTGGATTAGCACTGAGAATGGCATGAGAGAAAAGTAAACTAGAGATATAGCCTAAATTCTTTAATTTGAGTATAGGATTTCGGCGGGGTTGAAATGAAGGAGAAGAGTGTCGTGCTAAGTTCGAATAAGACTCTGGAGAAGTGACCTATTCAAATTCAATACGTAGGCATACAGTCAAAACCTCAAGCAAGGATTTCTAAACTGAAAAATGCCAAAGCTGCTTCCAGTTTTTTGAATGAAGTGATTGATTAAGTCATTGTTAAGGTATTATTCCAATTTTCAACTTTTCAGTATGGGCTATTTGTCTGTTAGTTGGAAAAAGATTCACTGGTGAACTTTCTAAGTCACATGATGCAGTAAATAATGCCATACCACTTTTTGGTTTTTGACTTGTGAAGTATTAAAGCTCTGAACCAAAAAATTACCAAAAACATTGAAGTGTTGGTGCATTGGGAACCTTTGGAACCATAATGATGGAGAGACAGAGAGGGAGTGAAATAGAGAAAGAAAGAGTGTGTGTGTATATTATATATCTTTACTTGCTTTGTCCACCACTAAAATCAGATATAAATAATGTCTTTTGTTCTGTGGACACTTGATTATTTCAGATACAGAGCGGTGACAACGGCTTATTACAGAGGTGCAGTGGGGGCAATGCTGGTGTATGACATAACTAAGCGTCAATCGTTTGATCATGTGACAAGGTGGTTAGAGGAATTGCGAAGCCATGCTGATAAGAATATTGTCATCATGCTTATAGGCAACAAATCTGACTTGGGGACCCTTCGAGCTGTACCCACCGAGGATGCCAAAGATTTTGCCCAAAGGGAGAACCTATTCTTCATGGAAACATCAGCCCTGGAGGCAACCAATGTTGAAACAGCTTTCGTTACAGTCCTAACTGAAATATATCGGATCGTTAGTAAGAAGGCCCTTGTTGCTAATGAGGAAATGGAATCCAGAGGGAATTCAGCACTTCTCAAGGGAACCAACATTGTTGTTCCTGGACAGGAGCCAGTATCAGGAGGGAGCAAAATCGGCTGCTGCATGTCTTCGTAGGACTCTTATTCCACCAGGTGAAGTTCAAGTAATGCCTTCTCTCAATTTTAATCATATTTGCTGTTTCTACATGCTTGACCTGACTGTAATTTTGTTTCCTTTCAGGAGATAATGGTGTGACACCTTTGGCATGAGGTACATGTCTTGTAGAAGTTAAATTGTTGATTTGATCTACTGTGGTATATTTTGAGTGGGGCTCATACTTTCGAGATGTGATGATAAATTTTACATGATATCATTTGCTTCTGATCTGTAACTTCCACCCTTAATATTTCATCAAATTCGCCGGCTGACACGGGATTTTGCTATTTGTTGTGGCTTTTCAATTTTGGTGCTAATGCTGGCTACTTCTTATTCATGATGCTGGTCTTAGCCAATCTGGATGTGTACCGATTGTGGCTGAAATGAGTTTTTTCTGTAGCAAGATGAAAACTACAACATGATGATAGTAATTTCAGTTGCTGCTACAATGTGTAATTGGTGATTTGTTGCTGATTCAAAACATTATCTTCCAGTTGAAATTTAGCTTTACTATTTGTGTCTCTCTGTTGGCTATATTGAATTTTCTGTTTAAACTTAGCTGCCACGCCCCCGCCATTCTAGACATGAGACCATACCTTGTGGGGCAAAGGGCATAACGACCTCAACTTGATGATTTCTGAAGGAAAGATGTCCATCAATATTGGGGTTGGGGTGGAGAAACTAGAAGGAGCTTTGGGCTGTTGATGCTTTTGGATGAGTTCAAGCTTAGCTTGATTTGCAGGTAGACACTAACATGAATGCAGATTAACCCTAAGGTAATTCAAGTTGTAATAGAGACGACTTGTAAATTCAGATTTTTTAAGTTTGAATTTTAACAATTCCTTAAAATCAGATCATGAAGAATTTGTCCCTCATGAATATCTTAATTCCAGTGTGGATGACATACTTTTGACCGGACTAAAAAGAAAAATAATCGAGGTGCACGTAAACTTATTTAGATACTTATGACAAGTTGAACTAAAAAACAAAAGGAATGCAGATTTCAACAGATTTTTTCAATTTCCATGTACGATGATGTGGATGAAAATTTCATGTCCCTAAATCAGAAATGTGTAGAGTTGGGCCGACCCAGAGTTGAAGTTTGACTCGGATGAATGCGTACAATAAGAATCGAGTGGCCATGATTTTGTCATATCACACGTGATTGACGGTGCCTGGTAGTTTGCAAGGTGCCTGGAATGTGAAGTTGTTCCGAAGTCCAGATTTTGAAGTTTGGCCTAAAGCAATCGTAAATGAGAAGTGTGCAGTCGTGAGTCACCCATTTTATCTCGTGATGAACATGAACTCACATGACGTAAATGAATAAAATCCCAAAATTTTTATATTTCTTATCGAATCTATATAATAAAGTTGTTTATAATTCAAATTTTAAAAAGTAAACAAAATAATTTGTAATTTTTGCAGTTCAGATTGTTTTAAATTTTATTTTAAAGTTAATTTAACGGTTAATATTAATACCTTAAATTTAATTAAAAAAATAGTCCTCTAAAGTGTGTTTGAAGAGACTTTTTAAAAGTACTTATAAGAATTATTTCTCATAAGTACTTTAAAAAAAAATAATGCTTAAAATCGTCCTACCACTACCTCTAACACCACCACCCCCACCACCACTACCTCTCTCTCTACCTCTACCACCACCGTCTCTGTTGCCACCACCACTGCCGCCACCATCACCACCACTGTTGCCGTCACCATCGTCGCCACCACCCCCGCTGCCATCGCCGCCGCTACCACTACCACCACCACCACTGCCACCACGGTCATTGTTACCCACCATAACTATCACTGTCTCCTACCACCACCCCTCACCCCCACTACAAATCGATGTTTAAATTCCTTTATTTCTTTTCTATGTTTGTAATTTGATTTTGAATATAAATACAAATATGTTTATTATTTACCATTTTTTATTACCGTGCCTTCAGGTACGGACAATAACTAGTCAACTTATATTGCTTCATTTATATCATAACAATAGCCATTTAAGTTTCCTGAACATTAACAAAATCTAATCAGGTAATTAGCTCCTTTGCAGGTAAAAATGCTGGTGGCATCATCGTAGGCATAGCTGTAAGCTGTTGGACAAGCAGCCTTGAACACCTCCGAATAATTCGTCGGCTTGCATTTCTTGGGGTCATTATACTCGCCGGTGCAGCAATATTCCGACTTGTTGAAAGCCATACACGCACTCTTACACGCCACGACACGACCCTTTGACTTCACTTGCAAGTCACCGGGACATTGTTCAAGTCCGAAACACAGTTCACCTCACTACAATTGCCAGATCCACTAGAAGGGACTATTGAAACTGGCATGTTGAATCCATCAACGAGGCTAATGTCATAGAAGTCAAGTGGGCTATCTAGGGTGAACTCAGCAAGCGAGGCGGGTGGTGCACCACCTGCCCCATCACATTGAAGGATGCCACCACAGTCGCCGGTGGTGCAGCTTCCTCGGCCCGATTGATCAAAGGAGCATTCGCTACGGGCCCAAAAGCGGCCCGACCACCCGGTAGGTGCATTGATATCTACTGATTCATGTGGTTTTAATTGAAGCCCACCGTTGGCTAGTTGAGGTATTCCACCATTTGCTAGGATCCCTGGCCATATAATCCCCTCACATCTGTTCTGCAATGTAAAAACCGCAGCATCGACACCTGAAAAAAAAAAATTCTAGCATTAAAAAACCCGACAAAAAAAAAAAAAAGAATGCAACATAAAACTAGGTACGAAACAAACTAATGGTAATTCGAGTGGTAATAGAAATGAGTTGTAAAATCAGATGTCCAAAGTTCAAATTTTGACAATTTCTTGAAGTTAAATCATGAGGAATTCTCATGAATAAACTAGTCCTAGCATAGATAGTTTGTCTTTAGTCGGATATGAGAAAGAATTAGTCAAGGTGTACGTACGTTGGCTTAAACTTGCCTAATGAACTAAAAAAAACTAGGTATGAAACCAAGGGCAAATTATCTTTTCCAGTCTTGAATTATAGTCTTGATTTCACTTCACTCCTCTATTATTGAGTTTTTCATGTTGACCCATCAACTACTAGAATTTGCTTCATTGACCCAAAACCACATCTCTATTTTGTTTTCGGATGAAAAATATGCCAATGTCATTAGATTTTTAGGATAAACAAAAACAAAAGCACCTATTTTAGGGGGGGAATTGACGCGACTATCCATCTAATTTGTATTTTGTAACGGACATCTACAATTAGGATAATTTGAAATCAAAACCCGTGGTTAAAAGTGCATTACAACAATTGAGGGGATAACATGAGACAGAGAACATAATTGAAAGGGTCAAAGTATAATTTACCCTAAAATTAAAATTTAACAGAGAGAACGGACGAATATGTAAGTACCTAAGAAGGAGTGAACCAAGATGAGGGAAAAATGCCACAATGCCATGAGGATGAGGGTTTGAGGTGTGGGGATGTGAAAGGTGTTATGGGTGGCTGTGGTTATGTTGTCTCCAATAGCAAAGAAGTAGAGAGTTATATATAAGGAGGAGGTTCGGTTCCACACCCTTTCTGAGGTGTGATATTAAATGCAAGAAAAACAAGATTGAGTTGGCAAAAGTTGGTGTATACCCCCACTTTTTGTGACGTGGTGGTCACGGGTTCAACTCTCCTGTGCAACTCTCCTTCTCTTGTATTGATGTGTCTAAATTAAAGAGGAATCTCAATTTGTATCCTTAAAAATTTAAATTTTTTTATTTTACACTCTCAAATATTAGATTTCTTACATTGCACCTTAAATGTATTAAAAGTTTTGCATTGTTGTCCTTCCGTTACATTCCATTGTTTATTATGNAAAAAAAAAAAAAGAATGCAACATAAAACTAGGTACGAAACAAACTAATGGTAATTCGAGTGGTAATAGAAATGAGTTGTAAAATCAGATGTCCAAAGTTCAAATTTTGACAATTTCTTGAAGTTAAATCATGAGGAATTCTCATGAATAAACTAGTCCTAGCATAGATAGTTTGTCTTTAGTCGGATATGAGAAAGAATTAGTCAAGGTGTACGTACGTTGGCTTAAACTTGCCTAATGAACTAAAAAAAACTAGGTATGAAACCAAGGGCAAATTATCTTTTCCAGTCTTGAATTATAGTCTTGATTTCACTTCACTCCTCTATTATTGAGTTTTTCATGTTGACCCATCAACTACTAGAATTTGCTTCATTGACCCAAAACCACATCTCTATTTTGTTTTCGGATGAAAAATATGCCAATGTCATTAGATTTTTAGGATAAACAAAAACAAAAGCACCTATTTTAGGGGGGGAATTGACGCGACTATCCATCTAATTTGTATTTTGTAACGGACATCTACAATTAGGATAATTTGAAATCAAAACCCGTGGTTAAAAGTGCATTACAACAATTGAGGGGATAACATGAGACAGAGAACATAATTGAAAGGGTCAAAGTATAATTTACCCTAAAATTAAAATTTAACAGAGAGAACGGACGAATATGTAAGTACCTAAGAAGGAGTGAACCAAGATGAGGGAAAAATGCCACAATGCCATGAGGATGAGGGTTTGAGGTGTGGGGATGTGAAAGGTGTTATGGGTGGCTGTGGTTATGTTGTCTCCAATAGCAAAGAAGTAGAGAGTTATATATAAGGAGGAGGTTCGGTTCCACACCCTTTCTGAGGTGTGATATTAAATGCAAGAAAAACAAGATTGAGTTGGCAAAAGTTGGTGTATACCCCCACTTTTTGTGACGTGGTGGTCACGGGTTCAACTCTCCTGTGCAACTCTCCTTCTCTTGTATTGATGTGTCTAAATTAAAGAGGAATCTCAATTTGTATCCTTAAAAATTTAAATTTTTTTATTTTACACTCTCAAATATTAGATTTCTTACATTGCACCTTAAATGTATTAAAAGTTTTGCATTGTTGTCCTTCCGTTACATTCCATTGTTTATTATGTCAAAATCCATCTCATTGATGTTGATGGAATGAGTAATAAAATCTAATAGAATGGTCTCATTGTAATACTTTTAATACATTGAGGACTTGTTTGGTTGCCGTATTAAAACTGGGTGGATTAGATAAAATTGTACATTCTAATATAATACAAATGGATTAAAGACAAGGTTAAATATTATATTAGTATAATACGTAATTTTATATAATGTTTGACAATACACAATATAAGCGTTGGATAGTAGTTATTTAATCAAATCGGTTGTTTGATTAGAGAATTATTTCATCGTATTAATATTGAATTAACAAAAATACTCTCAATCAGTGTTTGTTATATTGATGACAACTTGAATTTATCATTTGGGGGGTTATAATAGTAAATGCGTAGAATAATACATTTGAGTTGGATTATAATACCACATCTTTTGATGGTATTAAAAAACCTCCATAATACAGGTTTATCGTATAAAAAATATACCATAAGTATATCTTTTTGAAATTAATATGGTATCAAATTTGTTTACCAAACAAAGTATTAGGCCCGATTAAATTAAAAATTATATAATCTAATATTTAATCTCCTCATAATACGTCTACTAAACTAGCCTTGAAAGTACAATGTAAAAAATCTAATTTTTAAAGGTACAAAATAAAAATTTTTAAATTTTTTAGGATACAAAGTAAAATTCACCCAAAGAATATTCGCAAAAGTGATTGTAACACTTCTTAATAATTGACATGGTGCAAAATGAAGGCCCGTGAAGAGAAAATATTTAGTGCTTATCAAGCATCACATGACACTAGCACATAAAATATATTATCTATAAAATATAGTATATTCTCGAGTTATTTGTAAGGTTATTGATGGTACTTAGAATTTATGGTCCAAGCCCAATTATGATGGGGTGATGTTCTAAGTAGCTTTTGCAGATTAGGGATTAATCTTTCGTGAACAGTTAGGCAAGAAATGTAAGTGATTCACCTTAGCCGATAAATTAAGACTACGTCCACTATTAATGGAGTCTCTTGCTCCCTGAATTTGTATATTAATCGGTTGGAGGTGTGCCCCCTGAAATTGGGGACCCGAAGTCCTCTTACAAGGAGTGAGTATCTAGCTATTTTCTCTTGGTATCCTTGTTTTTGGCTCTTGAATGCTTATGGGTCCAAAAAAAGATTCCCCTCACCGGGTTATCATTTTCTATTTATATTAGGGTCTCTCCTAGGGTCTTTAGCTGTCCTTCTCTTAATATTGATCCTTCTAGCCCTTTTCTCTGCCCCTTCTTGCTTCTTTTGTTACCATGATCACTATTCATCCAGCGTCTCTGGTCGTTCAGAGCTGCCGTTGCCATGATTTATGGTGGCTTGACACTCTACTTTTTTTAAGATTATCGTAGGTGTCAGGAGTGGTCCCCTGAATCCTTAGGGTGCGTGGTCCCCATTGGCGATCCAGAAGTAACATTAGGATTAGGCTTTCAACCTTTGGATTGCTTTTGGTTTGGACTGGGCTGGATTGTTGGGTTATAAGTCTTCTGTCGATGCTAGGTTCTTCTTCTTTACTCCGGACCTTTTGGGTTGGTTAGGCTTTTGGGCCATGAAGGCTCTGACGTTGAATTTTGTTCGTATCAGTTATCATAAATTTTTTTAAAAAAAATTAATGTGTATTCTACACGTCAGTAGTGTGATAATTTTTCATTAAATATAAACTTGACATGACGCTGTCACATATTGCTTTATAAACACCGAGTATTCTCCCGTGACTAAAGATTTAATATTTCTCGTGATTAAAGGCCTAATATTTCTAACTGTCAAGAGGCAAAAGTAAAGAAAGGTAATACAATTGAATTGTACGATTTATAGACGACACAAGAAAAAAATAATCCAGTTGATATGACTAAGAGATGACACAAGTCACATTTTTTTGTCCCAGCAGTTTGAGCCGGGTACAAAAGAAAAAATCAAGTAACTTAGCATGTAAACCTGCGATGATAATTTTTATAAAAAAGACTACATGATTATTGGCTCAAGGTTGAAGAGAACTTTGCTTATTAGATGCACATGGTTTGCACGTTATTGTGTGCATCTTAAGTTTGACGTTATAGTCACAAATCCAAAGAGCATGATTAACGTAAAATTAGGACACCAATTACTATTTTAGACAAACTTGTGTATATCTGTCTTTCTCTTTATATTTTTCGGAATTCGGAGACTTATATCGTTTGACTTGTTTTTCTGTTAGAAGAGATATGAATTTCAAATTTCATGACTATTATTTTCCCATTACAGGCACCTAGTTAAAAGTTGTAGGCATGTTTGATGATGATAATAAAAAAAGTATTTGTTGAATTTTGAGGCATATTCTATATATTGCCTTCTGCTGACATTTTTTGACTCCTTAATCAATGGTCCTTGTAGGTTGATTGTCCAGCTACCCTCATCCCAATTTGTTAAAATATACAAATCAATTTTTATTTTTATTTTTGGTTCATATTTTTGTTGTATCCAAAGAGAATTATACGATAAAAAAGTCATAATTGAAGAGAGATCAGAACTAAAACGATGACAAGTACTCATCCGCCCAGAGGTTTTGGGTATAAAAGTTTATCACTTATCTCTCAGACTTTACTATAGACGAGAGTCTTGTGCACTTGGTGTAATCTTTAGTCATAAATGCAGCTCCTAAACGTAGTGCTGCTAAAAATAATCCACCAACTAGATATATTATGTCAACCTTCAACTAAATATATCATAAAAGATGAGAAGTACATAAAGAGTAGATCAACTCAAATACAAACATAAAACTACTAAATTTAGTACATAATTTCAACATTCAACTACTTATTATTAGCAGCCTAAGAATCATGCCACAGAGAGGATCAGTGCAGCTCCCTGGGCGCTTTATTCATAACTTCTCCCGGTTCAAGGCTAATCTCTTACCTTTGCAAGTCCACCTGAGCCAAAGAAACAATGAAACAGCAATTTATTTCCCAGCTAATGAAAAAAAAACACACACAAACTAATAAACAGATGGATAATTGAGATTGATTACATTCTTATTTTAAAGAAGATTAGAGGAAAATTGTTAATAAATATACACAATTAGCAGGTTCCACCTATGGAACCAGTCTCTCGGTACTTGGTAGTAAAGTTGTATATTTTTAATCCTCCCCAACTTTGTCATAATAAAAAACACCTGATTGTCTTTCTTTAATGATTTTTGCACTATGTGCATACTCTAGAATTTTTGTTCTTTACTTATTTTATGGTGTCATGTGTTTTCTTGGTGAAACTTGTCAGAAACAATGGCTGCATTAGGATTGATAATCAAACGAGCCAGAATGAACCTGAAGGAGCTGAATCTGAGCCAAGTTCGAGTATTTACACATAAACGAATTGAGTCTATCAAGTTTAAAATGAGCCAACCAAACTTATTTTTTAAAAGAGTTTTAAAAATTATTTAAGTTCAACTCGTTTTCTAAATAAGAAAAATTTAACAAGGTCAAAACGAGCTGAACCCAAGCCAAGCTCGAGTAACTCGGTTCAATTATCAGTCCTAACTGCAGTATATTGTCAAGATTATTTTTCTTAAGTTATCTACCTTCCACCAAAGTCATTGTAGCATAATTGATCATGGGAGGAGAATGGTTAGTGATAAAACATGCTAACGATCGAGAAAAAATATACTGACGCTCCCGTAAACCAAGCAGCCAGTGTGTGTGAGAGAGAGAGAGAGAGATTTACAAGGTTCAAAGTTAGCAGTGCACTTGTCAGGAAGCTGCATGGCCATGTTCTGATCCACACCAGAGATCGGAGGGCCATTGACAAACACACACAAGCAAGGCTGCCCCAAAGTTTTGATTGCAGCACAACAAGCCTCACTTGGTGGGAAGGGGCTAAATGGAGCAACTGCTGGTCTACAAGGTATTAAGTGAACCATTGCAGAGAAGAAAGTACAAGGAAAGCCATTGCTTTCCTGTGCCAAACCTGCTATCACCACCACAAAAACTAGCAATGGCACAGCTTTTTGATGCAAAATATTCATGTTTTGGAATGAAATTTCTCTGAATCTGTATTTGCTTTCTCGGTACAAGGCATGATGAGTCTTGTAATGGTTCATATATAGAGGGGATAAAGCTCATATACCATACTGTGCCTCTCTCCTAACCCATGTAACAGTTGATTCATGTTGTTTGTAAGCAAATTGTGCTACTGAGTTATTGGTTCAGAAATGTGGCAATGGCACAATTTGTGTGCTTGTGAAACAGTTCTTGAGCTCAAATGTCATGACTTTGCATCTTTAGAACTTGATCAGCTCAATATTGCTAACTCCTGCTATGCATCCACTATCACAAAACCAAGGATTACCCGATCAGCTAATGATTTATTCCATCTCTTTTTTTATGTCATTTAATACCCAAGGAATGTGTGTGCACCGCGCGCATACAGGGGTTTATTATTAACCTTCTTTCCTTCTGACCAAAGGAAAAAAGGTAGAATGACTTGAAATCTTTATTTTGGAGGCCATGATTCTACACAGATTTTCCACTTAAATCTCATTCGCTTATTCAAACGAATTATGCCTCCCTCCACACCTCGATGGGAAATATATGTTCTTGACCCAAAAAAATGCCCAAAGCTATTAGATTTAAGACGAGGCATTTATCTAGTACAATTTCACTAATAAGCATCCCAAAGCCATACAAGAACTATCATGGTTGAATACAACAATACATGAAGGCTCAATGAGGTTCCCTGAGCATTCATGCCAGTTTAATCACAACAAAGTTTAAAAGCTGCTGGCAGCTTCAGAAGGAAAAAAGTCATGCTTTCCTGGGGCACAAGTCATCAAAGCTCTCCTTTATTCCCCTTGAGATTAATTACAGAAAGCTCTTGTTCAACGTATTCTCCGGCAGAAATAGCAGGATACTTGCTTGCAAGTGGAGACTTCGCAAAATGGCCTAAAGGCTTTAACACGGCATCCGATGCTATGTGTGCAAATAGCTAGATAAGACGGGAGAGACAAGTCAAAGGCAAGAATATGACTTCTTGAGAAATTAATGATTATTGAGTAATATCTGTGGTGATTATGATGATTACAAGGGGGTCAGCTTTACTCACCGTAGAGGAGACTCTCCAGAGGCTGCGATTTTGCTGCATTGCTAGTTCAATTGCATTAATGGTCCTATTAGTTACGACAACTTCATGCATGCCAGCTATGCAGTCTCCTGCAGTCAGCCACTCTATCTGCATGCAATAGCAGTGCAAGGTAAACATTTAATTTCAGCTATTCAAAATACGTTACCACAGCCAGGTAACATATAGCAAGAGAAAATAGCTAATGCACCAGAAATGAAATTCAAGCCACAAAAGCAGTGGATTCAGAGGGAGAAGATTCTTATTTTCTTTGTTTGGTGTCCTCTTGATGAGTTCTGAACCATAGCCCCTCTTCTCCCCTCCCCTAAGATGTCATCCTATCACTTAACCAAGATGGCTACGACAAATTTGGTCAGATGGAGATGATTGTAGATCTCCAAAATAGAATGTATCAAAAGGAAACATTCACCTCTAGAAGAAAGAGGCATGCTCTTGAATCAACTTTACAAATGAGCAGTACATGATTTGTTTAATTGGTCGGTCTGTGGGAAATATTCAATAATCAGATCACCATTAACATCTGGGTGGCAAACGAATAGAGTTGCCTGAGATTCATGATGAGTGGAATTGGAACCGGGGACACAATAAATGCTGTCATGCTTAAGTACAACAACATTGGACATTTATAATTCAGTTCTCACCTGCTTTTTTATCTAATTGCTGATAAACAATCAGACTCATGTCATCAATGAGCTCATATAAGTAAGTACATGACACAACTCCATGATATGCTCTTACCTGCTTTCCTGTCTGAATGAGGAGACACCCAATTGGAACCTTAACTTCCATTTTCTGCCCATTTCTTAGCCAAATATTTAGGCCAGGGAATCTACTTCTGCCATGGATAGTTAAGAAGTTAAGGTCATAATGATATCCTGCAAACACAATGCCCTCTTTTCCATGGCGTTGAAGGTTGCTCCCTGTTGGAGCAAGCAGATGTGGTCCCTGGTGTACAAAGCGAAAAGGCACTTATTAGACCATACATAAAATTGAAAGGCAGTAAGTTACTTAAAAATGAGATTGCAAGCGTCATCAGGCATCAGCTATGCAAATACAAGCCCAACACTAATAAACAGTTTTGGGAACAAAAAACATAAGAAAATGCTAGATTGACATTTGAGACATTACCGACAAGCATGCACATACACACTACCATTTAACGATAGGCATTTTCCAATATCCTATAAGCTTGGGAACTAGTACTTTTTTATCTACCATTTTACTAGACCTACCACAATTCATTAAAAAAAAGGGGAAAATTCCATTCAATTACATTCAAAAACCAGATTCCGAATATTCCTGTATTGTTTTCCTTCAATTTTGGGAGCCTTGGCAATACAAAATCACAAAGGAGATAATAATTAGGTTTTTTTAGCATATTGCGTGTTCAACATATTCTTACTGTCAAAATTCCTAATCCCATATGAACCATACATTATAAAACCAAAAGATGAAAAATCTAAGGAAAACAAAATCAGATAGTAAAAGGTAGTGACAAAGGACTCTATGTTTCAGTTTAGCTTGGATTTGTTATCACAAACCAGAATGCAAAATAAAGCATTAGAAGCACTTGTGCAATGCAGCAACAAAAAATATGGGATTCCTTTGAAAACATTCCACAAATGAGCCAGGACTGCGTTTGCATTTCACCAACCAAGAAACATATCTTAAGTGATAGGTTTAGCAGACATTCGATTTTGCATCAACAATATCTTTGATGCAATCTGACTAGACCATCCACACTCATTACTTATTTTTGTGTCTCATTTTCTGATTTTGATCTGAAAGGTTTTACATCAGAATGAATTGAAGGAAGACATAATGACAGAATTGGTATATCAAGAAACAGCAATCACCTGCTTCATTAGAGAAGTGAATGCATCCTTCGGCAGGCCAAATCCAGTGGCTGCCATTTCAGCAACAGCCTGAGCCACAAATAAGATTAAAATACATTATGCTTAACAAGCACTACGAAGCCAAAAAAAAACAGTGATGACTCACCTCAATAGCAGCTATCATTTTGTAACCCCATAAGTCCATGGTGTCTTTCCACTCGGGAAATCCCTTGGGTATAACGGGTTCAGAATTCAGTTCCTACACAAGAGAGATGCTCCTTAAAACTGGTAACAACACACATCAGAATTTATTATGAAACAGTAGCATTTGTTAAACCATCTTGGCATTGAGAAAGGAAAGATGATGTCAAACCTTAAAACGGGTGTTTGATGGCCTAGGACCAACTCTCCACATGTATCGCCACTTAGGATCTGGTCCGGTGGGAGTGGAAGGTTGAAACTCCTTGGGCATTGCTCTTAGCTTCTCTTGCATTTCCTCATCAACCAGACTACGGGGTACTTCAACTCCTTCAGGTGTCACCCCAACCTGTTATTCAATTGACACAAAGAAATACTTTTGACAATAACTCCTTTACTAACAAACATGGCCCTGCGCTATCATCAGCAGTAGCAGAAAAGGCTAAATTTCTGTCGCATTCTACTTAAAAAATAAATCATGTGTAACTCGACCAAACTACAAGGGATAAAATTTTATGTACCTGTGAAACAATAGCAAAACTATGATACAACCTAGTTGCTACCAAACACAATCTAATTGCTAATTTTCCAAAACATATCCTCATTGACCTGCATTAATGCTAAGTCATAAACAAACACAACAAAAAAAATCTCAGTGAGCTTGAAGTAGAATTTTAGACTCTGCATAATGTTAGCAATACAATAGAAAAGCTATCAGCTACTTCGAATTTGAACTTCCATGATGGGCCAATTTGGCTGAAAATAACAAGAAAAATAGTAAATCAAACTTGCATAGATTGATGAAAAAAGTATTCAAGCAATAAATAAAATTGTACACGATGAAAAAGAGAATCCTCAGTTTTCTCCAAATTCCCAATTCAGTGGTCGATATCCGATCGTTCAGAAAATGAAAAAAAAAAATAAACGATTGAATTTCCATCTTCAATTGATTACCAAAAAGTGCGTTTAATAATATATTGAATGGAATCAGTTGGCGGAGTACCTTTACAGATACGCATACGGACAAACACTCAATTATTAGTGTCCACAAAAAGGTGAATAAAAACCAAACCCACAGCTATTTTCCACTTTTCACTTCACTGATCCATTTAAGTACTCGAAAATTGAAGTACAAAGGGGAAAACAAAAACCCATCAAAGTAATATACACAAAATTTAAAAACATTAGAGCCATTCAACACATATACGCATTCATGTAGATATACATATACACTCCCATATATGTACCTTAAATGGGTGTTAAGAAAGCACTTTAACGCAAAAAAATTAGTCTAGATCTGTTGAATTTCAATTCTAAATACACCTATAGTTTAAAATGGACCTGGTAATGGAGGTGAGCGCGTTCTTGGAGGCGCTTGAACTCATCAGGCCGTTCGAAGTACATTTCCATCATATCCAAGAATCGATCGTTGTCTTCGGCGGAGCATCTCGGATCCTTCACCAAAAGAGCTCCAGTTTCTCTCAGAATTCGACTCACCTCCGAGCACAAGTCCTTCAGATACGGATCGAGCTCCAGCTCTGGATTTAAGGACTGATCGAAGCTGAGTTCACCGGAGAATTTCAAGTACGGAGCCAGATCGATCACGGGAAGCTCCATTTGGGTCTCTCTCTCTCTCTATCTCTCGGGGAGCTTTGTGGATTCAGAATGGCGGGATTGAGAAAATTTCAGCTTTAAATTGGAGAGCCGCGCACGTTAGCGTTATTGCCGTTGATTGGTCGCCAGATTCGCGAAAGTGACTGTTTTTTGGGGGAGTTTCGGTTCGGGTTTTGGATGCTGACTTTTGGAATGCTGTTTATGGAAAAACGTGAAGAAAACTCGAACCGTTTATCCTGATTTTTTTTTTTTTTTTATTTGGAGAATTATAGTCCGTCTTACTGAAATTTGTCACTTAATTAATCATATTACCTAACATTTAAAATATTACACACAGACCTCCTAAAATTTATGCACACGTAATACTTAGACTCCTGTTATAAATATATTTATATAATAAAACAGATAAGAAATTAAATTTTATTCCCTATATATTTTTTCTCTCAAAACTATCACATCATCTATTTTTAACACATGTTCAATTATTTAATATTTGATTAATTTATAATTTAACATAATTTTATTTCAAATATTATCCATATACGATAATATACATATGTTGAAATTTTTTTATCAAATTATGTAATTTAAGAAAATTTTGTCAATATTTTTTAAAAAATAATGGGTAAAAATAAATTTTGAATGACATAATTAATAAACGAAGGAACGAAAAATTATTATTTAATATAGTGAGATCATTTTTTGGGACTCAAATTTTATGTTTTGTCGTGCCTTTAAGCACAGGATATGACTAGTCCGATAATAAATTACACTTAAATCCCCTGAAATTTGTAAACATATATTATTAAGACCTTTTAAATTTAAAATGTTATACTTAGACAAAAAATAAATCAATCAAAAATAAAATATCAAATACTTTAAACTTTAAAATTAAAATTTATTGTGTCATTTATTGAAATAAAATCAAAAATAAAAATTTTACTTTTTCTAAAAAAATTATAATTAGTATACTATTATATTGTCTATTGAAATTTAATTTGATCATTTAAACAATCAAATTAAAATACCAAACTACCCGAATTAAAGCTAAAAGATGTTGTGTCCATTACAATTTGACCCATTGTTTAATTTTTTAATTTTATTATAATAGATAATATAATTATATATTAACTATGTTTTTAAAAAAAAAAACTAGATTTTTATTTTTGATTTTATTTTAATAAATGACATAATAGAACATGAATTTTGGTTGTAAAATTCATGTTCTATTATAAAATGACTTAAACTCTTTGTTTGATTTTTTTTTAGTTTTATTCTAATTATATAGTATAATTGTCTACGAAAAAATTAAATTTTTAATTTTAATTTTATTTCAATAAAATGATACAATAGAATATGAATTTTAGTTGTAAAATTTAAAATATTTGATATTCTGTATTTTTTGTCTAAATATAATATTTTAAACTTAAGGGATCTAAATATTATATACCTACAAATTTTAAGGGATTTAAGTGTAGTTTATTAACGAAAGTATTATACGCGTACAATCTTCTGTGGGTCTGTATGTAATATTTCAAATATCAAAGGGCTTGAGTGATTAAGTGACAAATCTCAGGAGGTCTTGATGTAATTTTCCTTTTTTTAAAAAAAAAATCATCTTTTATAAAGATTTTTTTTTTAAAAAAGGTTTTTTTATAATATTTATATAATTTACTTTTAATTTATTTAGATATACAATTTTTTCAAGTTTTTTTGCATTGGAAGTATATAACGAAGGCGCCCAGTAATATTAAATTAAAATTAATTTTAAAATAATATTATAACATCGATCTCAACTTTTTTGGAGCGGTAATTTGACCTTATAAAATTATAACTTTTTTCAAAGTCCTAACTTGATCACAAATGACCACCGAGTGGAGTAGTCCAGTGGGTTATTAACCAAATTTCTCACCCTAAGATTAGATGTTCAAGTCTTGGAGTTTATTTTGAGACTTGATGGTTGGCCATTATGTTAGTTTAAATAGGTTCATTCTCGAAAGAAGTAACAGACGTGATCAAGGACCTCATGATCCGACCAGTGAAGACCTATTGAAATGGTCTTTGAGTGATCTCCTTTACCCCCACCCCTTTATCTATTTAGCCAAAAAAAAAAAAAACTTGATTTATATTGATAATTAGTCCTTATTTACTTTACATTCAATATGACATCTTTTTTTGATATTATAGTCTTTACCCCTTTTTTTATCAGTAAAAGGGATAAGGGATAATTAGTAAATAGTAATCTTTTAAACGTGACCACGAGGGTCTTTACCCTTCTCTAAATATTAAAATTCATAAAGATTATCTTTATGTAGTGATCAAATACACTTTAAGTGCTACGACAAAACATGTTTTTGCTTCGAAAAATATTTTTTGGAGAAATAAATAGGGCTGGAAATTGGTCATATGTTTAGAGTACATTTTCGGCACAGCCAACTATCTTAACGGAAATTATACGTAACATGCAAAAACTTCATGGTGTTGTATACTAAGTTTACAAGTTATATTTTCCCCAAACGTCAAGTTTTGTAGCATCTTTTGGGGATTGATACATATCTTATAGTTATATCTCCCTTCTACCAAAGACTAACTAGATAACAACAAGTTATAGTTCAGATGACTCAAGTTTTTCTTCGTAGGGTCACAGTATGATTTTTATGAACAATTGTAATAGGCTTTTATTTTTATTTTTTTATATTGCGGTCAGCTGGTCTTGACTTATTCCTTCTCTAGCCGAGTCAAAGACAAATCATTTACGTCGAAATTAAGAAATTTTTTATTCCTTATGATTCGGTCTCGAGTGTTATCAAATTTTGAATTCAAAGCTTCAATCTTATTTTTCACCATACTGAAAAATAAGGTGGAGATACCATTGCCATGGTGAAATAATTATAATCATGACACCATGAGGGAATCATGTCTCAACCTCTTTCTCCAGACTATTCTACATTTTTAACTTCTACCAGAGTGGCAAATTTAAGCATCTTCACAAGCAAAAACATCATGGTTTGTTCTGCACCTTAACAAGTTTATAGTAAGCTAGATGATCTCAGAAAATGTCACTCAGTTGAATGTTTTGGCATTACTAGACATTAGCAATAGAGGATTCATGTAGCCGACCCTAAAAATGTTGTGACAATGTTTCTGTTCAAGGAAGCAGAAGCTTTCAGATTGATGATGAACTCTAGAGAAAAACTCACCTAAAGCTCTAATACAGAAGTTTGTGCTCTTTTCCCACGGCTAACTTCATAAAGATCATGCATTAACCTGGTTTTGGAATTGAACCACAATCTCCTATTTCAAGCAGAACTGTGATTACTGCTAGATTTCAATGGATCATGATTAAATACGACAACAATCAGATATATCACAAGAATGTTTAATCATTTTCAGAACCATACCTTCAAGCATATTTAGATACACCAATAGAATGATTTGCAGATAAATAAACGGAACATAAAGGCATAAAGCAAAATCCCCTTAAGAGGAATCCAAACCTACAGGACTATCTTGCATCGAGTCAATTAAAAGAACGAAACCAGGCATAGATGAACAATTCAAAATGGTATGTTGGTGGTGACATGGAAACTTTAGAATTGGTTCAGGTCATACTTGACATTGGTTTGTCCTCTTGAACTTAAGTTTGAACAGATTTTCGGCAGAGGTAATGATCTTAAATTTACATTAATTCCAATGGCAAAAGAAATTTATGGTGTTTATATAGCTTCCAGTCTTCACCGCAAGTAGATTGCTTTTGGTTAAGACAATACATGGTGTGATTTTTGTAGGAGGAATGATTTGTTATCAAATGTGGTGAAAGTATGAAATTCTACAGCAGCAGCAGCAGCAACACAATTATAGAAATTGTCATGAAAATGTGTCTATCAGAAGTCCATTCATTGTTATTACAATGAGCGCTGCATTTTCTACGCAAATTCCTACCTTATAATGTTGTTATTATTGCAGAATAGCCTACAGTTATCATTGTCAATATCTCAAAGATGGGATGGAGCAGAAGCAATTCAGCAAATGGTGGTGAAGTAATTTGACTGTTTGTGAGGTGGGAGTGCTGACTAAAAGCATTTAGGTAATTAGGATATAAAGTCCTCAGTGAGAACCTAGATTTATGAGGATCTAGAAAAGGGTCATTAGGAAATAAATACCTGAAAAGATTGTCAAATAACGATTAGGCGTAATCGAAAGATTTAGAATGTGGAGGAGAAAAGAGAATAGAGAGCCTCCGCAAAACATTTATCTTTTTGGGATGCAATAGAATATGACTATATGAGGACTCACATGAGACTCACCAGAGAACACAAAGCATTTATCCTACTACCAAACCGACGTAGCGCTTCATTTCTTGCTATTTCACTGTTAAGATATTATGCTGATGCTGCAATCTAGAGCCATACTGCACTAGTACAGATTTGAGATTCGGTAAATAACTCAGTGAAATGCTTTCTAAGAAGGGCTTCGCTTGAAAGAAGAAAGTGAAATATAAACAACCGCGCCAATTGTAATAGATCGAGAGCAAACTGAAGAAGGACGTCACTCGTGGAACTCTTATAGCACATATAAAAATACAGATGCAGCAAGTCCTATGTCTTCAATATTTATTTAAGAGAGTAGTAGAAGAACAAAAACATCCATCTCAATCTTGCAATAAAAACTCCACGGTGCTTCCACATGGGTGTACCAGTTTAAACTTTGTGTTTCGTTTGATACGATAGAAAATTGGAAGAATATAAAGTTGAAAGGATAAAAAATTGAAAAGATAAATAAAATATCATATTTGGTAAGGAAGAAAAGTAGGAAAAATAAAAAAGTTAATAAATTAACTTTCCTTTCAACTCATAAAAATCAATCCCTCCAAAATCAAAAAAAAAATGGATAAAAATTTAATTATTTGTGTTGAGATGATCTTATTTGTTTATAAATTTTTATATATACATTAATTTTATATAAAAATATTTATATATATTTTTAAAAAATTTAAAATTCAAAAAAATAACAAATAAAAATTTTAAGTTAAAAAAAAATATGTTTTTCATCTTTAGTTTTTGATTTAACATGATAACATAACTCGAACTTGATACAAAAATAAATAAATCAATTCACAACTCAACACTACACAATTAATTAAATGAATTAAATTAGATTTAACTAATATTCTACACAGACTCGTAATGACTCAATACAAATTTAATACGACACGACTCAACTCTATTATTACCCTTAATTTTAACCAAATACAAAATAAAGAAAGTGTATTTTTCTTACTTTCCATCTTTTAAAGATAAAAAATATATTCCTCTTATTTTTTATCCTTCCTATTTTCTATCCTCCCTACCGAACAAAACATTAATCTTTACACAAACAGGGACTATTAAAATGTTTCAAGCTAATCCAACTCTGTTTCAAGTTAAACGCAAAAAACAAACAGGATTAATCATTATACAGGTTCACCGCCAAGCACAAACGAAAAAACCAAACAGGCTTGTTTGCCTCTAATGTTGAGTTTGGGTGAACATTAGGGAACCAATTTTTTCTGCAAGATGTGACCCTATATACAATTGAGTACTAATTTACAATAATTTTGTATCATACAGAATTCATAGCAAAGAGCATATATTTTATTTACCTACAAATAAAAGACAAATTATCAGCATTTTGGAAACACCACTCAAGGAAGTCCCAAACTCTTCCTGTTCAAAACAATTCATCATGAGCCATCTAGCCTTGCTTTGGTCTCTAGTTTGATAGTTGTACATGCCAATAATCCAATACATTCCCATGAACAAAGGCATATAGAATCCTTTTCACCACAGCTGAAAGCTTCGGTTAAAGCAAAAGATCTAATCCAACAAAAATCCCTAAGGAAGGAAAAGAATCAAAGAGATGTAAGGATATAGGATTACCTTCTTCCACCGTCTAGGAGAAAACAAGCCAGTAACCTCTGAATTTTCTCTGCCAATTCAACTGTATCTGACAAAAATATGCAAATATGAAAAATGAAAGCCCCATAGCTTCGACATTCAACGTGTAAATTCACCATCATCAACACCATCAATGTAAACAAACTCATACCAACAAAGATATAAAGTGTAGCAAATCCAGTGAATGAACTTGTAATCAATTTAGACAGAAACAAAGATATTGTGGAGATAGAAATATGGATCACTGGATATAGCAAAAATAAAAATCAGGATTGAACAGAAACGAAATCTAACTATTCATTGGTTAAAACTAATAGCATTAATTCACCATCCGTTGATTTTTGTTCTGCAACAACTAATCCTCAAGATTTACATCACTACCAATAGAACACATCCTAAAAGACCCACAAAAACACGAGACACAAATACCCAGAAAGGCATTGCAACAAACAAAAACCACCACCCAATATCTAAGCCCTCTCGCCTCTAATCCTCCTTGCAAGCTGAATATCTTTAGGCATAATAGTGACCCTCTTGGCATGAATAGCACACAGATTCGTATCCTCAAAGAGACCCACCAAGTACGCCTCAGCTGCCTCCTGAAGAGCCGCGACAGCAGAGCTCTGAAACCTCAAATCAGTCTTGAAGTCTTGAGCAATCTCTCTCACGAGCCTCTGGAACGGAAGCTTTCGGATCAGAAGCTCAGTGCTCTTCTGGTACTTCCTGATCTCTCTCAGTGCAACAGTTCCTGGACGGAATCTGTGTGGCTTCTTCACTCCTCCGGTGGCCGGAGCAGACTTCCTAGCGGCCTTGGTGGCGAGTTGCTTCCTTGGGGCCTTGCCACCGGTGGACTTGCGAGCTGTTTGCTTGGTACGAGCCATTGATGATGTCAGAGAAGGAGACGAAAATTCTGTGAAATGTAGAGAGAGAAAGTGAATTGCTGTGAAGGATTTGGGGGCTCCGATGGGTATATATTAATGGTGGAGCAGCGGGAAGTTCTGAAAATTTGGGGGTGGTTTGAATTTTCGTGAGTTGTGGGTTTGGGAAGATGAACGAGGGTCGTTGATCAAGGGATGTATGGACGGAACGGATGGGGAAACGGATTGCGATCCGCGTGTGCTATTAAACAACCACTAGAGAGTTGCCACGTTGACATTTTTTTTGTTTTCATTGCGCTTTTGTTTCTTTTTCACGCTGGTGAATAAGGGACGTCGATTGGGAGAGGTGTGGACGGCGAGGATCAAATGAGCTACGGAGGAACGGTATTGCGATCCGTGTGTTGTGTTTGTGATCTGTAAAAAATTGACACGCGTACACAGAACAACAAGGTTGAAAAGGTACGAGAGCTAGAGAAATTGGTGTTGGGATGCATTGGCTAGAGTGTTGAGGTTGCCGTCCTACAGGTTGTTGTGTAACAAGTTATTGCCCTTATGGGTTTTTTGTGGCGAAATTCGATGGCTGATGCTATTTAGAAAGAGAGTAAAGAATGGGAGACAAGGAAAATAGACAAAATATTAGAGAGGAAGAGAGACAAAAAATTGATCAAAGAAATAAATAGTTTTGGCGCGTGAGAAGAGAGAGAGGAGGAACCGAGCATAGGAAGTGTATGCACACACATAAAAGTGATTATGTTGTCAAAATTTTAGGGAGGAAAATACAAATTTTGAATTCGTTTAAATCAATTAATATGAATCTTTTGACGTGTAAAAGAAGAGAGGAAGGACGAGTAGAGAAATTGTCTATACGCATGCGGATGTGATTGTGGTGTTCAAATTTTAAGAGGATAAAAAAAAAACTCTGAACTTGTTTAGATCAATTTTCAATTAATCGAATCATTCTTGTTGTTTTATAAATTCTACAATTCAAAAACCTTTTAATTTTAGTTTATAAAATTCATTTAGAAAATATAAAAAATAATTGGAGCAGGAAAAGTTAAAAAAGAGAGTGGAATTAGCTATTTCCCTTTCCACTCCATTGTGACCTCTCCTACTCCATTCTTGTATCCGCCTTTAACCCATTTCAACCATATCCAACAACTACAAGCCATAGCCTACACTATAGACACCCCATACCCCATAACCATCTCCCTTATCATAGGCTCCACCACCTAACTGCAACTATTTCATAATCCTCTATGCATGTGTAATCTTCATCTCCGTCATAACTCGCAACCCATCTCAGAATGGTACCCCCACCTTATGATCCTTCACAACACTTTCTAATAACCCTCTCCGTCATACACATAATCACTGATAGATTGTGATTTGTAAATTTATCAACGAACAATAGATTCTTAAGTTGACAAGTCTTTACTAAACCCAGCATAGGCCACCACACATACTGCAATAGACCTACATGTGCACCACAACAAATAGAGATAGAGTTGGTGCTCTCTGAGAGGTTGGATGACCATAATGGTATATTGTTTATAAAATATTTAACTTTAAACACTTCACAAACTGATCACAACTAATTTGTACTGACACAAGAGCTTCATTGTCTGAAACTAAAGGAGTTAAGAGTTATTTCGTAACTTACCATTGAGTTCGAGTTCTTTTTTCTTCGACACCAAAAATGTGCAGATCACAATTGCATAAACTTCTCATAAATAGTACTACATGACTCACCACAACGCATTAGTTGCTCTACCCGAGTAGCTGCTAGTATTTTCATTTGTAACTCAATAAATCGAGCCCGTTGTGCATTCATTTGGGTCATTAGATCAAAAACTCTCTTAATTATATCTCACTAATTCTAATAACCATTGCCCCCCTCTTGACATTGTTTGTCACATCCCTCAACCATAATGGAAGTATAAGAATACTCAATCTCTATTTGATCTAAATCAATTGTAAAACTCATGATTCACAATGCTATAAAAATGCAAATCAACACATAAATATATATAAATGTATAGCATGAGCATTTCTATGCTTCTCTCACCTCAATTGACACCTAACACCCTAGCTTGTCCACTGTTAACCTATACTCACTTGTCTGCAGAACCTAGGTTTGATACCAAAATGTCACATCCTAATCCATAGATGGTACAAATTGCCTATTCCTGTAGAGTGACCTCCACTTCTTATATATAATCTCTTTAATCTGCACATAATTATAATAAACTCATAATGCGTGCACCATCAAGGCGCATTAACACATAAATAAAATTCATATATTAAATAATTTATTTTATAGACTATTCCCTCAAATATTACAAATTCGACTTTAATACCTTAAATTTATAAACATTATATCAGTGTTCACAAAAATGGTTTAAACAAAACCATTTCTCTCCCTTGACCGTCTAGACTCAACAGTTGATATTCCTTTTAAATCGGTTCCCTAAACACAATCCACTTAATGCATGTTCACATTCATATAACAAATAACAACGAAGATATACTTCACATGTTAACATTTTTTATCGAAATAAATAGATAATCATCATAAAGTCATTGTATACAGAGCATTCGTAAATCTGTTACCAAGGCTTACAACAAACATAAACTCCGCATAATATCATCATCCCAACATAATGAATAAATATCCACCAAAGAAGCCATAAAAAATATATTTATCAATACTAATATCATTTCATTAAAGTTAAATGAATAATCACACATAAGCCATCATATATGTTATCCATATATAATTACTATCTATAACCCGTGTCTTAAGGCATGATGAAATATAAGATTTCAGCGTTCAAAAAGTTGATCTCACTATATCAATTAACAATTTTTTAGTTATAATTTATTTGATCACATAATTTAAAATTAATTTTTAACTATTGTTTTTTTAAAAAATAGTGTTAAAATTTTCTCAAAATGCATAACTCGACAAATTTTTTTTAACATGTATACACTATCATGTATGGACAATGTATTAAATTAAAATTTAATCAAATATCAAATGATTGATAATATGATAGAATCAGGTGATGTAATATTTTTGGGGGGGAAAATATATATGGTATGAAAATTTAACTTCATTCCTATCTTATTATATAGATATCTGCCACTAAGATCATATCCTCCCCTTTAAGATAATATCTGTCACTCAGATTATATCCTTGCATTTAAGGCAATAACCGTCAATAAGGTCATGTATCTACCTTTAAGGCTTCACCCGTCACTAATATCAAACATCAGCCTTTGAGGTTATATTTTACCGATAAGGCTAATTAGCATAATCACAATGCATCTCAGACCAATACTCCACATAGTACAAATAAATAATGGATAGACATATTATTGTCGTTATCAATTGTATAAAATAACACACTCGTATTTGATTCACCTTAAAATTTGTCCCCATACGAGATTTTAGGTAGAACCGACATTGATGTTGTTGCCTCAGAACCTAACACACTTCATCGCAAATTCATTTGAATATTCCTCGTATATGCATTTGTTTTAAATACCATGTATGAATGTTTGAATTGATACATTACCAAAACCCTTTCCAAATAATGTAACACAAACCTCTTAAACTTGACTTGATCATTATCTGTCTCACATAAGCTAAGTTCAAATTTAATCCATAATCATGTATTTGCAAACGTATAGGCCTTAAAGGAGTTGTTTTGAACCCATTTGGATGTCACGAGTGTTTTGAAGATGATCGGATACAGGACCAAAACATCATATCGAAAAACATCATTTTAACAAGGTTATACCGGTACAACTTATACCGATTCTTCGTTGTAGTGGTACAATAGAGTTGTAATGGTTCTTTCTAGGGCAAAAAACCCTTATATCGGTACAACACAATGTTGTATATGTTATAATATGAAAATAGGCTTCATGTTATAATTTATCAGAGAAAAGAAGGATATGATGAAATATTGAAGTAGTAATTTATTCATCAGATCAAACTCCTTAAATAGAAGATTACATCAACTAACTTGCCACTAATTTAGGAACTACCTCATAACAGTAGCAGAGAACCAAGGAAACAAATTAGATTACTGATACTCCTAGCAACAGACTTCTAAAAACTAGGACAACTAAAAAAATAATTGTAATTTATAAAATTAAATTCCTAACACCCTCTCTTAAACTGAGTTTTCTACTTACATTCAGTTTAGAAGAGTACTTCACCGGCCCAACCCCTCCGATAACTAGTCTCTCTCAGCTTACTTGTTGCCGAGTAACCTTGCAGCTCCCTCCCTCAAATTAGATCATCCATGGAACAAACACCAAGTAACCTTTGCAGCTTCACAAACACATCCAATTTGAGGGGCTTTGTGAAAATATCCACAACCTGTTCTTCACTTCTATAGTAAATCAGATCAATAGTGCCATCATTTGCAAGATCAAGCAAAAAATTATACCGCACATCGATATGTTTACTTCTCCCATACAGAATTGGATTTTTTGAAAGCTTGATTGCTGAACTATTGTCACAATAGATCACAGTTGGGCCTTGCTGAGTACTGTGTAATTCTCCAAGAAGTCTCCTCAACCAGATTACTTGAGATGCACACGCCGCAGCAGCGACAAATTTAGCTTCAGTGGTTGACAAAGTAACGATTTGTTGCTTATTTGATAACCAAGATACAGCCCCAAAGCTCATTATAAATGCATGGCCTGAAGTGCTTCGTCTATCATCTGGATCACCTGCGTAGTTACTATCCGCGTAGCCAAATAAACCAGAACTTTCTCCTTTCTTGTAGAATATGCCAAAGTTAATTGTCCCCTACAAGTATCGAAAAATTCTTTGGCAGCAAGAAGATGCATTTCTGTAGGATTTTCCATATATCTACTGATAAGACTGACTGCATGCATTATATCTGGTCTTGTTGTAATTAAATACATAAGGCTTCCCACAATTTGCTTGTATAGAGTTGCATCAACCTTCTTTCCTTCATGGTCTT